TCATTGGCTATGAACAATCTGAGCCTGTCAAGGATTTTGTTCACGATAGCTTGATGGTTGTTTTGGTTTTTTTTTTGTAAACTCAGAGTCGCTAGCTTGTTTATTTTTTGTCATGTAATTTTTCACCAAATAACCTTTTTTCTTGGATCTTCGAAACAATTCAAAGAAGAGGATAGTTTGGAAAAGGAGAACACATGACTGAATTAGACAAATAACTTTTGAAAAAGAATGTGGAGAATTTATGTAGGGTAAACTTCGTACAATAGGTTAAGTTAATATGACTAGAACAAAACCGGATCGAAACACCTTCAAAAGCGTCATTTACGAAAAGAAACTCTACATAAATAACCTATAACCAGAGAATCAAAAAGAATATTTTTGTTCTAGGATCAAGAGTAAGTCTTAAAGGGATATATCCCTTTTTTAATTACAACTTGTGGGAAGCCCAAGAATACTATTGATTAAAGGAATCATGTTTATATTCAAGTGATGACTAGTAATGGGGTGTATCAAAGGATGGTTTTCTCATAGGAGTGCCATGATGCCTTCTGAGCTCATGCTAAGCTATAAAGGTAAGGAATGAGTTTCTCACGATCCCGATGGATAACGACTCATCGACAAACTAGGCCTTTGAAATAATCGGGTCATTCCATAGGGTCCACATTATGTTCTCAAGCCTAAACAAGTCATAAAGATAGAGGGTGAGTCGTTGTATCTCAAACGAGCAGCGGCCTATCCGCAATCTGGGCCTACGAGATGCATCGATGAGGTGTCAAAGGAGGTATACCAAAGGAGAGGTAGAGTAATCTTAATCAGGTAGAGATAGTCGGGTCAGGATACCTTGAATCTGTCATCCCAAGCTATTAAGATTCAAAGTCTATCTGATCGTAAAGGTAGTCGACCCAACCTGACCAGAGACTTCTTGTCAAAAATTCATGAATTATGTCGTCCAAAGGAACATCGATAGCCCTAAGGTCAAGAGAAGGAAACTCTGAATATTATGCCCATGTAGGTAGAAAGTAGAGGTGAGACTTATACTTGCAAAAATGACAAGGAAGTCATTGGAATGAAAATAAAAGAGAAGTACGACTACAAAGTCGAGACGCTCTCTCTCACAAAAGACGCATATCCCGTCCGAGTCGGGGAAACCTCTAACACCTTAAGCACACTACACAACCACCTAAGTAGAAAAATCTTATGTTTGGCCAGAAGAGTTGAAAAAGCGAAGGGACTTCTCCTCGGGACATGCAAATATGATGCAATTAGCTAACAAGTCCTAATTTTGAGACCCTATTAGGGTTGACTTGGGTTATAGTAATGTTATGCAAACCGTTTTAAATTCGGCCCAAAGATTCCGGCTCAAAGACTATGCAGGAAAGTAAGAACATGTTGAAAAGTTGAGATGTTTTAAACCTAAATTTTAATTAATCTCAATCTTTTATTATTAAACTTATGTACAAAAGTTATAATTTATATCCTTAGAGAGCCTAAATTACATTCTCGATGAGCCCAACAAACCGCAAAGCAAAAACGAGAAAATGTCATCACGCAACGCAATATAAACAAATCAAATATAAAGAATAAAACATCGGGTGTCGTTGGGTCGGTAATATATCTTATAAAAGAAAAAAAAAGCGATCAGAGACAAAAATTATAATTTTATATTAAATTACATCCTCGATGAGCCCAACAAACCGCAAAGCAAAAACGAGAAAATGTCATCACGCAACGCAATATAAACAAATCAAATATAAAGAATAAAATATATGGTGTCGTTGGGTTGGTAATATATCGTATAAAAGAAAAAAAAAACGGTCAGAGACTGCATATACATGTCTAGTCATAATTCTATAAATCAAAGATAATTCATAATTAAGGTACGATACACGAGCATTTTGACTATGGTCCCCACCACATGATTCCGTTGATCAGGCTTCTCTATATATATGCATGTATCTTATTTCTAATAAAGACTCTACTTAAGGACTCTAAAAAATACAAGTTAAAAAGTCTAAAATAAAGACTCGACTTGCAAAAACAGTAGGGTTAATAATGGTTAGGCGAAATTTTTAAAATAGTTTGTTTAACATTTTTTTTAATCGTTAAATCGACACACAAAAAATAAATTCAAAAATCGACAAAGTCACCACTAATGTGCTACTGGCTGTTTTTGAAAAAAAAAAAAAAAAAAAAAAAAAAAAAAACTGACATTATATTAGCTCTGTATTTCTTTTCAGCAAACAACCCCTTCAAAAAATCTCCAACTCAAGAACCTTCTAGAACAAGATTTATTGGTCCCTAAAAGCACATGACTATTCAGGAGATACACAGTCAAGTTAACCATACAGTTACATGAAAGAATTAAATACTGTTCCCACTGAGCGATTAGAAATTAAATCACTCAAGAAATAAGGCATCCAGACCAACGAGATCCAGATGTTACCTCTCAAGCATTCATAACGCATTCACTTCCGTATACAGCCCTCAAAAAAATTAAAATAGTGATTCTTTTAATATGACATGAAAGATTTGGGTGCTATAAACGTAAAAATTAAAAAATGTTGGTGTTAAATATGTGAAGTACTGTAATATTTGGGAAAAAATGCAATATTGAGCTTATAATTGGGAGAAAAGACTGAATACTTTACGGTATAGGCTGTAGCATAAAATTGCAGGTTGTATACATCAGCAATTTGTTGTTAGTCATACATAGTAGTTGAAGCAAAGCTGCTTCTGAATTTTCTTCCATCTTGCTAATTCTAATTCAACAAATTCCATGAGCACAAGGATCCCATTTCCATGCCCCGATGTCGTAATTCCAAGACCATTCAAATAAATGGTGGTAGTATCCACCTTGAAGTGCAGGAACTGCTCTGACAATAATTTAACCATGAGGAAGCAGCTCAAATAAACCAAGATGCATAAGATTCTTCAGCAAAATTAAATACCTGTAAAATAAAAACAAAACTAAAGATAGATTAGATGTAGAACTTCATTTATTTACTTTTTGCTTTGTCTATAAAAAGGAAGCATGTCTAACATTTAAAATCATAGCATTCAAACACAAATTTCTTACACTAATAACACTGTGATATCATCTTCGCATAGAAGTCATGCTCTATAATTGCCACAAAAGCAGGTTCTTTTTATTCTCCAAGGGGATTCCTCAACCAATTCCAAAGAAAGGTTTCCAGAGAATATAGCTTCACGATTAAAATCAAAAAATTAGTTTCCAATAAGGAAGATGTACATACATATCAGTGAAAATGACAAAGGGAACAAAAATATGGCAATGAGAATACAACCTGATATGTATGAATTGACTGCTAGGTAAAACATATGAGCTTTGCAAATCTTGTAACAAAAATATGTCCTAATACACCAAAGTATTTGTAAAGAATGAAATCTGAAACCAACAGCTATGTTGGGTGAAAGTATTGCCATGCATGTGGGGATAAAAAAAGGTATATGTTACCACGAAATCATGAAAAACAACCTATAGATATGAGGATAAAGAAACAACAAAACAAGTGTCCGCAATGTTTTTGTTGATGTATTGCATCCGTTCCTGGGTTCTAACTTTGACGTGGGTGAACTAGCCTATCTCTCAAATGGTGCTCACGATCATAGTCCACCGACAGTCCACCGACAGTTATGCCCCCGTCATCATACCAGTATGTGTCATGAATTATGATTGTTGTTGTGGAGTTGGTGGAGACAACCAAAAATGCCTAGAATATGGTGATTTGAACGGGGTGGTGGCTCCACCCATTCAGAATGGGGGTGTGCTTTGGTAATGTAGTGGTGTAAATTGTGTATGCTGTTGTGGCAGGTGCTACGGTGTGCTATTGAATGCATGCTCGACATACAATCCACTTGGATTGCGGATAGCAGATGAACTTGGATCAACTCGAGTTGATGGTGCTACACTTGCAACTGCTAACAGGTATAAACTACCAGAGGTTGGTGGGTGCTCCACAATGTTTTCGTTGCCTTAGCGATCAACTGTAATATACAGTCCTGTGAACCTCTCTGCATAAGCCCTCAAATGCATCGATTAGAGGTTGATATGGGTTGTCATCACATTTCCCAAATATAGGTTGTAGCAACCCTTCCGTCTTCAGGAAATGATGGCCCTGCATCAATTTCAAAATATTAGATAACCATCATAGCTTAAAATACTTATAACAACACTAAATTACATACCAGAACTCTCTCCTTTGGTGCTTTTGGATAATATGATTTTGGTACTTCAGATGGAGCTTGTAGCAAGTATAAGGAAGCCCAAGATATATACCAATACATGTATTCTCTACATGCTTGATCTTCACTGATATCCATGTTATCACTCTGGACAATTAAGCCACGTCTGTTTCTATAAAGTTGAAAGAAAAAAAAATTAACAACAATCTCATGAATTTCAAAACCAACATCACCTTAAATTAAGAAAAAAGAATAACAATCTCTCACACACAGAAGAAACTTTAAAAAAACTGTAATAATCAGTAACCATTGTCAAATAGAAAAGACGAGCACTTCATAGAAAATTTCTATAGAGTTTAAAATGCCGCTCTTCAATTGGCAATAAAGTCTTAGGTCAAAGGCACTAATGCATACAACATATATAATATCGTTGAAACAAAAACAAAGAATCCTCTAGTGTACTATAGGAAATGTTTTGCCATAGCTAACCTATAAAACTTTGCTACATTTATTGGCTGAGATACTCGTACGATTAATTCATCATACACCACTTATTCCACCAACAAAATAGAAATCAATCATAAAATTAAAATCATTAAACAACAATGTATGCATTAGTATCACGCTAAAGTGATTTAATTTCACAATCCCTGAGTAATTCAATAAAAGACAGAATCAAACATAAATTCAACAAGAATAATAATAATGAGAGAATAGCCCTACGAACCCAAGAAGAACAACTAAGAAGTTTAGAGATAATCATTAAACACATATCACATCGAAAGATTTGTAAAGTAAATAAATACCACAATCATAGACTTATTTTCTTTTATATTTGTCATATGCAAGTCATCACTTGTAAAAGGTTATAATTAAGAAACCAAATTGTAGATTTCCATATTTTCCAAAGCTCAGAACTTGGATATTAAACAACTTTTTAAAATGAAAGTGGACCAATGCTTTCAATTTTGTGGTTTGCTTCACATCATAAGAATAACTTCAAACAAAAATGCCTTCAATCCGACCAATCAATATCATTAAATATCAAAAGCAAATTTAAGAGTTAAATGAGCTATTTTGGAAAGTTAATAAATCCTAACGTTTAAGAATTTATGTAGGGTAAACT